CAATAGACCAAGCATATTCCAATAGGCGAGCTTATATCTGTTGCATGGGAACGACTACATAGGTATTTATAAAATTCGCCATTGTTTACTGTGGACACCGTCTTTGTAAATAAATCTTAAAATTCGTTCTGGTGTTGGTTATTATCTCGTATGCTTTTATCATCTAATACGTATTACATGTGGATTTTTTATGCTTTTCATGCTTGTGCTATGGTTCAACGATAATTCTTTTCTCTTTTCTTTTTTTTTGCTTGGTGTATATTATACATATTTTTAGTAGATGAAGATGTTTTTTCTCTAGTTGTCAAGTGCATGCTTATTAAAAATTTTGAAATATTTGAAAACATTATTTTTTCTTCTTTCAATGAGTTTTTTTACAAACAGTAAAATCTCTCAGATTTAGCATTTATACGTTCAACAAATTTTTTTTCTTCTCATCCGACTAGTCGAATTCAAAACAAGAAAAAAAAACAAAAACATTTTTTGTGCTTGTAGACGTATACTACATAGATAGAACCAACAAATAGTTGATACGATGCTTGTTTGATGAAATAGAAAAAAAAAGATTGTGTTAGTAACAACTAATGTGCATAGAACGATACTTAATGTAAATTACACACTGACACATTTTTATACTTTACGTTAAAGAAAAAAAAAAAAAAGAAAAAAACAATCTTACGAAAAAGTACCTCTAAAGCCGTATCGTTATCATAATGTGTACCTGAACATTTTTATACATTATCTATACATACAAACATTTAGTTAAAAAAAAACGATGAGTGCAATTATTCACGATCGTCTTGGTTGATGCTTGCTATATCCTTTCTACAGTACATGATACATGGGGTGGGAATCTTAAAGATGAATAAAATAAAAATTTATGTGTAGGCCCGTAAAAAGCGCCAAGAAGAAGTGGAAAAACTTCGTTTGGAAGAACAACAGCGCAAGCAACAGGTAAATCACCTAATCCGTTGTTTTGTTGCAGCCGCGTAATGTTTTATTGCATACTTTTTGTATTTTTTTCAACTACAATTTTTGTTTTTTTTTTTTTGTTTGTCGCAGGAACGAGAAATGAAGAGGCAACAAGCAGTTATACTGAAAGAACAGGTTGGTACTGCTTAGATGCAACGCTAGGGCAGAGTTTTTGCGAGTGATTTTCTACTGAATTACTTCTATCGTGTGCTGTAGAAGTAGTTTGAATTCTCACATTATCTTCTTTTTCTGCTATTTTTATGAATCGTCAAGAAAAAATTTTTTTTTTCGAATTAATAATCATACAATGTATTGTTTATTGAATTTTAAACACTCGCCAAGTGTTAATTGAAAAAAAAAAAAAAAATAGATAAACGTTCTTCTAACGATTGCACGAGAAAATCATACAATTTGATAAATTAACTAAAAGGCACTTGTTGACGAATAAATCACGATTAAAAGCTTTTAGTAAAATTTTTGTAAAATAGCAAACGAATAGTTTTTACGGAATCACGTGTTTTTCAACTTATCAAAAAGTTAAAAATTTCGGATGAAAAAAAATAAAAAAATAAAGTTTTACGCGCAAGTAGCTCACTTAAAGGAAAAAATTATATTTGAACGAAAAAAAGCCAATGGTTGGCAACGAGAACAAAACAATCCTTAGAGTATTAGTATACGTAGCGTTGGCTTGAGCACTGGTGGACTTGGATGTGTTTTGTGCTACAGATGTACATGCAGGAGCTGACCAAGCAGCGCGAGATGCTCTACACCGTCGAGCTGGTACGTCCCATTGATATCGACGTTATCTCCCTTGCATTGAACAGGCACATTATCAGATCATAAACTCAAACCACACGCAGTTTGCATTTTTTTTTTTTTTTTTTCTAACGCCCGCTTGTACCTCCTATGGATACTGTGATGAAAAATATTGCCTCAATAATTTCAGACACCGCTTTTGTAAATTTTTGTTGCTTTTAATACCCGTTATTTCACAATTAATTTACGTTACATGTGTTGCGTATGAATGTACGAACTTTCTTCAAAACGCGATCGGTGATAAAGTACGGATAAAAAAAGCATCCAAGTGAATTGCACGAGAGTGGGTTATTTTGGTACACCTAATTTTGTGTAGATAGTGTGCATGACACGAAAGGTGGTGGACGTTTTTGTCACCCGTAGAAAGTAGCGTATAGTTTAATCTCAATTGTTTCTTATTCCTCTTGACAGGAGCGAGAGCGCAGGCGGCAGCACATGAACCTGATCCGGGCACTGGAGAATCGGCGCAAAATGGAGGAACGTGAACGCAAGAGGCTAGAAGCCCGGGCCGAGAGGATAGCTTCGAAGGAGCGCCGGGCTGAGCAGCGCCGGCTCGAGCTCGAGCTCGTCGAGCAGATTCGCAAGCCCGTCGAGGACATGGAATTGGCCGACCAGAAGGCCCTGCCGAAGCTACGCCGGCTGCCGGGGCTCAGGCTGAGCGGCCAAGCGTTCGCCGACATCGTCATGGTATTTGAGTTCCTTCACAACTTTGGCGAGACCCTCGGCTTCGACATGGACTCGCTGCCGAGTTTGCGCAGCCTCCAAGCGGCCCTGCTCAACGACGAGGAAGCCGAGGAAGAGCTACTCTCGGTGATGACCCACCTGCTCGTCTGCGCGATCGAGGATCCCGGCATACCCCAGCCGGCGCGTCATACGACTGGACTTGGGCAGAGCTTGCGCCAGGCTGACATCACCCACGCTAACCTGAGCGAGGTCTTGCGCATCTACCTGTACGCCAATGCGACCGGCGAGGTCAAGGCTCTGACGGGGGTCTGTTTGGAGCGCGAGCGCGACAAGAGGCTCGCCGACCACCACCAGAACGCACCGACGGACAACGGGCCTCCCACGGGTAGCGGGAAAAACGCCCAGTTTTACGAGCACCTGCACAGCAACGAGACCTGGCGCATGTCCGAGCGTCTGCGGGACAAGCCCTTCCTCGCGCTCAACCCGACCCACAAGGCACAAATGCTCGCGTTCCTCTGCAACGAGCTGCTCCAGAACAAGGCGGTCACCCGCCAGATCGAGCAGAGCCTCGAGAACGTCGCCCAGCTCAAGAAGGAGCGCTTTCTCCTCGACACCAAGATACGCAAGCTACGACAGTTGCACGCGCGTAAGCAGCGCATGGAGGCCGTGGGTGTCATCGTCAACAAGTCCGCCGACGGCATCAGTTTGACTCCTCTGATGGCGGTGGGAGCCTCGGTTATGGCTGGATCGGCAACGACGACGACAACAATCATAGCGATGACGAATAATAATAGTAGTACATCTACGACGACGGTGACAGTGGGGACGCCTACGACGACGGTGGCGTCCGCCACTGACGCGTGTAGTACCATTCCCACGATTGCTACCAGTACCGTTACTACTGGTACCAGTACCACAGCTGACGCGAGTGACGCTCTGCTGGTGGAGAATAAGAAAGAGCCCGAGGTGAACGAACAGCCGACTTCCCCGACGCTACCTCCGCCACCACCTCCACCACCACCGCCGCCTCCAGCGCCAGCCCCGGCACCCGCCGGGCACGATGAGTCGCATCACGAGGACGAGGCCCATGACGAGGAGATGTCGGAGAACGAGAGCGAGGGCACCCAGCCCGAGGAGGTGAGTGCTTTGTTGTATTTATTTCCCGTGACGAGGCTACGACTGATTTTTTCCTGCGTTGTTTCCAGGAGGAGGACAAAAATCTGTCGGCCGATGAGCTTGGCAAGAAGCTCGACAAGTTGCTCAAGCAGTCCGAGGAGCAGCTACAGAAGCTCAACGGTTCGTCCAAGGAGCTGCGAGCACACATATTCGGCCAGGATAGGTACTGGAGACGATTTTGGGAGTTACCCTGTGCCGGTGGGGTGTTCGTCGAGGCCATGGAGAGCGCCGAGCCGGAAGTGCTCCCGCTTCAGGCTGAGCTGGACGAAAAGTACAAGAACGCGCCGCCGAAAGAAGAGCCACCAAGCGAGGCTGAACAGCAGAAACAGTGGCAAAGTAACGGGCCCAATGATATCAGCGACGCGTCTCTTAACGATGCTACGCACGATGACGACGAGGAGCGGGAGCCCGAGAAACTCGCTGCTGACGTTGCTGTTGAGCAAAACTCGACCGAACAAACAAATAGCAACGATAATAAGAACGTGCATAACAATCACTGCAACTCCGAGCTGATCAACAACTCGACTGACGAGGTGAAAAAAGAAACAGATATCGTGGCTGACGACAACGAGGATGACGAGGTAGCCAAGGCAAACAAACTCGAGGGTTCGAACAAAGTGAAACAAGAACTTGCTGACAACGTAGACGTAAACGTTAAGACGGAGGAGCCCGAAAAATTGGAAAATTGTCCAAACGGCGATGATGGCACCCCAAAGCTCGACGGCCTTAAGATGGAAGACAAAATTTCCGAGGCAATTGCAAACGGAGACAAATTCAATTTGCCCAACGGCAAGGAATTGAACGGTAGTTTTCCTTCTGGTAAGATTTATTGGATGCTGGTGACAGTTATTATACGTACTTACAATAACTTGATCGAGTAGACGGGTCATACGAGTAACAAATTTCATTTCAGGCAATGACAATGGCNAAGTAAATAAACGATTAATAAATGCTTTACGAGAAAAAAACAAAAGTAACGAAATAAAGAAAAAAAAATTTGATGCGCAGAAGCGGGTAGGCCTTTATTGCTATTTCAACAACAGACTTATTAATAAAATAAATGTAAACGTAATACATAAAACTGGCTTTATCTTTACATGATTCTCATTCCTCCTCGCTCGATCCTTTCAAAGTTCGTTAAATTATACACACTTTGCTTTATTTAGGTACATACCATCACTTGGTGTTCCTCTGGTGATGGAATTGCGCAACATCAAAGACGCGCGGTCAGACTCCAAATTGACGAATTAGGTACTTACCCTCCGAGTCTCATAGAGTGAGGCGATTGAACTTATGCAATGAATTTTTATTTACCGCACTTTTGCTGTTGATCTGATTAGAACCCGATTATTTATGATCTTGACGTATATTATTTATAAAAAAAGACACAAATCAACAAAGTGGTTCAAATGCAAGCAAACTGCAGGATTAAGTGCAAATATTTCGAGGTTAAGCTTTTCAAAGTTTCCTTTGAAAGTCATGTTCTTACTTTCATGTAAGTTCTAGGGTATTTATAAAAAAGATAAAAAAGTAAACAATAAAAGTCTCACAATATGCGCTCTCAAATGAGCAATTTCTTAGATTTAACTACTCGCACTGTTTGGTACAACTTGAAGTAGTACTTGCAGTTTGTGACATGTGATACATTATAACAAAAACAATACTTATAACCATGACAGCCTTAGCTCATCTTCGAAGAGGATCTTCTGGTGAGTAGGTGTCAATATATATATGCCCTTCCAAATCCATTTATCTCATAGCTATGGCCTTAGCAAGGGTAAATAGCCTTGCTTATTACTTTCTGATATTTCACATCATGCAATTTTGTATTTACTTATATCTATAAGCATCTGTAAAATAAAGTTTATTTCATATCTGTAAAGGAACTCAGCAGTTATTCAAGTTACAGTCTGCATGTGCATTTTTTCAATGCCATGAGTCAAGTTTTGTACCAAAACGCGTTCTCATTTTTAAAAAAATTTCAAGATATCAGATTGAAAAAAATTCCAATCCTCAATTAAATGAAAGTGAATTGAAACACAAACTTGTTTCTGGAGGTGCTAATTATGATGCTATTAAAGCTGTTCACTATCGAACCAAAGAAACTGAGCTGAGAGTTGTCAAAGCATTAGCTGACCTCGACATTAGCTTTAAAATAAGAAACAGGTGAGTATTTACTATTGCAAATTTTTTGTACATTTTTTCTTAATATGTAACTTACATTATATTAAATCGTAGGTATAATGTAGATGTCGACATTATTGCATGGGCAGACTTAATTTTACCTATTGGAGGTGATGGCACATTTCTTATGGCTTCTAATTTGATTAGGAACAATACCAAGCCAATAATAGGTATTAACTCTGATCCCGAATTCTCAGAAGGATTTTTAATGTTGCCATCAAAGTACACAAATTTAATTGATGAAATATTTGAAAAACTCAAATCTGGACACTTTAAACATCTTATGAGAAGCAGAATCAGAACAACTCTACACGGAGAGGACATATGGCAGGTGCCTGTTTAGTGCTGTAGTTTTGTTTTTCACAACAATTACAATTAAAAAAGGCTTTTCTCGTTATTATAGATATAAATCGCGAGACGACTTTTGCGCCGATGTTAGGCAAATGTTTATAAACTGCGAGGTCTTTAACGAAGATGATAGTCCTGTGGGCAAAGCCGGCCATGGGATGCGCAACTTTTTTGAAACCCGCTGGACTGAATTAACCGGAGCTCCTCCTCCCCCGCTTCATCCACAAACACATAGCTGAGGATCGGCTCGTGTTCGTAGTGGTTGCGGTAGTTTTGCACATTTTTACTATTAGTTGTATCAAGTGAGCGATGGATACGTTTGTAAAGTAAAAAGAAAAAAAGAAAAAAGAAGAGTCCGATAAAATATGTATATTTTGTCGTGTGCATATTTTACATTTGTGTTGATCGCGTTCTAGCGATTCGTTTATTCTTAAGGTTTTCATTTTTTTTTGTACTTTAATTTGACCACTTAACTATTCTTTCATTTAAAA